CCCCTGCCGGTCTCTGCCCAGCCCACCCCACCCCACCCCACATGCCTCCGCTCTCCTATCAGTGGCCACCGTCCCTGCAAAGGCCCGTGATCTTCATGAACACGTTTCCCAGACCGTCTGCTCCCTTCCATCCCCCCACCGCTTGCTACTCCTGCGACCCAATAGGCACACACCACTGGCACCTTCTCCCTGCTGCCCCTTGGTCATGCACGGTCCCCGCCTCACCCCAACAACACCATTTTAGGGACACTACCCCCACCCTGTAGCTCCCTTGCTTTTAATTCGTCCACGGCCCCCATCCCTTTCCGCTGTGAGACACATTTGATCCAGGTGTCTATTTAACACCTGCCCCTCCCTCCGCATGCACAGAAGCACCCGAAAGCAGGGTGTCTCCTGCCTTTCACCAAAGCACTCCTTCTAAATGATCAGGACAGGACCTGGTGCACAGTGTGTGTGTGTGTGTGTGTGTGAGAGAGAGAGAGAGAGAGAGAGAGAGAGAGAGAGAGTGTGTGTGGACTTACTTGCGGCATGGACAAAGGAAGGAAGGAAGGATAACTAATCCAGTCTTGAGTCACCTTTCTCTATTAGAACATGGTGATAACATATTTCTTCTTCCATTCCTAACAGAATCCATAACTAAACGTAAACCAGTCAATCTTTGAAGTTATAAAGTGAACAGCCTTCTGGAAACTGTAAGGGTCTAGTTATGCCCCCTGCACTTGTCCACTGGGTGATCACTTCAGGCTCCACAGTGCAGTGCTGGGGCTCAGGTGATCAAAGGAGCCAAAGCTGATTCCGCCCGGAGCTCATGGCACAGTGTAGACGGCAAACAGCACAGCGTCAGTGGCCAGGCTGGATCCAGTGCCTCGGGAGTGGAAGACGGCACTGGAACTCACCTCCCTGGTGATCAGGGATAGTTCACAAAGAGGACAGCTGGCCAGTGAGCATCTGGCGGGTGTCACTCCTACCAGTGGTGAGGGACAGCCCAGGCCTCAGGAAGAGAGACCCAGACAAGAGCAGGGCCCACGGGACACAGGGCTGCAAGAGAAGGCCATGCCACGCTGTGGGCCTCACCCTCACCTCACGGCCAGCGAGAAGTCCCAGCCAGGCTGGGTGTGACAGGCCTGTCCTGCACTGTGTCCTGCCTTCTGAAAGGGGCTCACATCAAACTGGGGGCTTGCAGTCCTGGTGTCAAGACTGCAGATCCAAACGGGGTTCCTGTCCTGTGATGTCAGAAGCTGGCTGTGCTCGGGTGCCAGCTCCGCTCCTGCCCCAGCTGGCAGCGCAGTTCTTAGGAACGATGGGACTGCTGGCCGAAACGTGTCTCAGCTGATCCCCGCTCTCCTGGGGACAGGGACATGCCCTAAGCTCCTCCACTCGGCTCGGGAGACAAGGCCAGAACTGCCAAGGCACTCAGGGAACTGGTAAGACTTCTCCTGCACTGGTGCTAGACGAGCGAGCGAGGTCTGGAGAGGACCTCTGTGGGCAGGCTGGAGAGGAAGCAGCAGGCTTTCCCAAAGGGCACTGCTGCCCCCTGCTGGGACATGCATCCGCCACCGTCCTCAGCACAGAGTCCCCAGGAAACATGAACTCTGTTTAAACAAAGTGTGGAAAATCACTTGTCTCTAAAATGCTAACTATTCCATTTTAAAAGGAAAGGCAGAAAATCACAATAAGGAGTAAAACACCATCAAAATTCCACATCAGTTCTCTAACCCTAGGTGGTCCAACTCAATGAGGTCAGGCCCTTCTACATGTTTTCACTTCTAGACCAAAACATAGACAGCCCAAGGCTGGCCTTCATCTCCAGCTCAGTGAGAATTACAAATACAAAGAATACCTTCACTTTCAAGAACAGACAACAAAAGCATTTCTAAGCTGCCTTTAAACAAGTAAAGAAAATATCAGGTTTTAAACAATTACATAAAATGAGGCGGTGCACACAGGCAATTACAGCATTCAGAAGCCTGAGGCAGGAAGATCGCTGCAAGTCCAAAGCCAGCCTAGCTATGCAGTGAGTTCAAGAACAGCCTGAACTACATAGCCAGATCTTGTCTCAAAAAAAAATTAAAGAAAATGGTAATACAATAAAGGTTCTAAAGTAAGAATAAATCCCCGAGCACTAAAACATCTTACATAAAAATTAAGGTATGAATAAAACAAGAAAGAAGTAAATTTCCTTTTCTAAAATTGAAAACCATATCAGTCTTATAGTGGTATTACAGCAAACAGCATTACAGCAACAATTACACACTTTGCAAAGTACAAAGGGATTTCTTTTTCAGTGTGCACACCAGCAGTTCTGGCAGAAGCCTCCCACCCTGCCCATCTTGCCAAAGGCTGAGGGACCATTTTCAGCCCAATTCTGCGGAATTTTCCCTTGTGAAAGCATATAATCAAAGCTCAATATTCAGTTCTTCGGCAAATCAGTCAGTTGAGGTAAACTGAAACTAGTCAATGTGCATCCACCCTGAAAACTATCTTCCTGTAGAACTGGAGGAGGAATGATCAGCTCAAAGGGAACATCCCATTAACTCCTCCAAGTGGTTTCGCTGAGGCTAAGTGAGCAGTTGTGAAAATCACAAACCACTGGCACCTCATAAAGCAGTTTTCAGACCAGAATTTTTGAGGCTCAGGGAGACCACTGAGATTTTTATCTGAAATAAAAGTTCAAAAGTAGGCTTGTGTCTAACAATGGAGCTCATCAAGCCCTGAAGGGTTTTGTTTGTTTTTTTGTTTTTTTGTTTTTGTTTTTCAATTTCATTAAACCACCAAACTGAGGTCCCAAGTCCCTGGGAAGGCCCCGGGAAGGCGCCAGAAAGGGGCAGAGTGCCGGCTGCTACCGGAACCGGAAATGGAACTGGAAATGAAAGCATGGCCACACTCACCATCTGGGGCACACCAAAGACAACCACATTCGAGTACTGCGAAAAGGTAACCTAGGCGAGAGGGAAACAATGGGGAGATTAATTCTAAGAAGTCAGACATCAGCTTAACTTCTCTCACAGAAGTGAGCGGCCATTTCCCCTTTGCCAGCGTGACTTTTACACATGCCTGAGAGCAACGCTTCACAAACATCTGTGTTCACACCACCCTTGCACAGGTTCCATCTATGAGTTTTCCAGATGCCTCGGTGTAACTCAGCTCATCCACATGGGGACTCCATGCAGGGCCCACCCCGGGGATCCTGTGTCAAAGGCCAGGGTCACCAGCAACTACTCTCCACACACAGAACCAACTTAGCAAGAAAACACATGGCACGCGCCTGGTGTTAGGAAACTGATCATGTTATTTTGTGACACCGCCATTTTGGGATGGACTTCTGGGTTCTTCTTCCCCCTTAAACCCGTCTTGAGTTTCCTTTTTCCAAAACCACATCAACATATAGAATTCAAACCTAAAGCTTCCTGCAGAGCTCCCTTCTTAGAGGGAAACGTGGCTTGATAGGTTAAGAGCAGCCTACTCCACCCTAACAAGGAAGTCTTTGGCTCCAAGCCCCATAAATAGGCCAGCACTTCCTCATCTCTCTCTCTCTGCTCCACTCTCCTGGCTCTGCTCCCCTGAATAAAGTCTCCAGTTGGACCTCTCCTGTGCATGGCCTAGTTGTTGGGGGTCGCTGTTCCTTTTCACCTGGTATCGCAGCACTGGGGAGGATGAGGCAGGAGGATCACTGCGAGTTTGACACCAGGCTGTGCTAAATAGTTCAAGGCCAGCCTGGACTACAAAGCAAGAACCTGCATCAAAAAAAAAAAACTTCAGAGCCACATGGTTTTTCCTTTCAGTTTTTCAGAGCCACCAGTTTTATGCTGAACCACTCTTAGAATTCTAATCTCCTCTTTAAATACTACACAAAAAGTGCAGAGAAATGGCCTTTCACTAGTTGAAAAAGCAGGGGGAAGTGCTTCGCCAGTCAAAATTCTTATTGCCCAATAAAAGTCTTACTTACTCTATAGAGAGATCGTTTAGTTATATATGGTATGAAAAACAATGCAAGTAAAACTCAAGTGAATTTTTATAAGCTACTCATGACAGTATTACAGTGGAAATTCTTATTTAAGAAAAAAATTATAGAGGATTTCTAAAGCAAAATTACAGGGCATTTTGAGAGCACAAATAAATTGAAGACACTCACACTTTATGAGGACCAGGAGTCACCAGGACAGCCTGGTCAGTGGATGCTTTCTTTTTCTATCACCCATCTTGGTCTCTGTCTAAATGCACAAACAGACACGTGCACACAGGAAAAGACTTGCATATGTATTAAGAATAATTTGTATAAGATCCCCAAGTGAAACGTAAAACTTCATTATTTCATAACAAACAAAATCAGAACACTTTCACTTAGGAAATAAATTGGTGGGATTCACCTGACCTATCACAGTGATGGCGAACCTTTTAGAGCTTTCAATGATACAAACAGCTTGCTACAGCACACGTGCCATCAGTTCACCACCACTGACCTATGATATGAAAAATCTTTAAGTTTCTGCTCTAAAGTTGAGCCTGTCTGTAAAATCTTACAGGTTAAAATGTGAATCTATTTCCTTATGATAAAATATTGATTTGGATTTTAAATAGTTTTCTGTTAACAAATCTTTCATGTTTTCATTAGTAATAAAATTTGCGATGGCTGTTTCTAGGACCGTTCTCTGCCTTACCTACCTTCCACAAGTCTGAAATATAAAATGTGGCTGAGCCGTGCACACCTTCTCTCCAAGCTTTGTACCTGGAATACCAAACCAGCCATGGATTTAATTCATAACCAACTGCTGTGAATCCTTCCTTTGCAGCTGCTATCACCTAAAGAGAGGCCAAGATGTATAGAAAAGAAGAAAAATCAATTTCTATGGTCAAATAATATGCATATTTTCTATTTATAGCTTACAATCTGTTCTGAGTTCGATACCTGATAACAAAATTTTTTTTAAAAGCACATCCTTTGTCAAAGACACCATTTAAAAAATGCATCCTAGGACCGGTTATTTAGCGCTGTGGTTCCGCTGCCTGCCTTGCAAGTGCAAGGGCCCGAGTTCAAACCCGAGTACCAAAAATAAATAAATAAATAAAATAAAGTAAAATAAAATAAAAATGCATCCTTTCCAGAGGAAGGTGGCTTGTGGATGAGGTGATGGCCAACCTATTCAGACTCAGTTGCCATTTCTGTCACATACTTCACCTCCAGTACCACAGTACATATTTGCATTTGCTTTGGATAACTGCAAGGTTCATGCGGGTTTAGCCAACACCTGTACAGGTCTTAACAGAAAGTTGCTGAAAGTCTGCCACATCTTCCCATCAATGGGCCAGCACAGCACAGGGCAAAATGACTGCAGCCAGGAGAATGGTTTTGCAAACAAGTAATGATAGTCTATAAAATAACCTGTGAGGCAGAATCTGCAAGTGATCACACATTTCCTTAGAATTTAATGATGTGTCCTCTAACTGGAAAGCAGTTAAATAAATCAATAAAATGGAACGTATTTGAATAAAGCCAGCAGCGTCTCCCACTGGCCTTGCAGTGACAGGAAAGAAGCCAAGTGGTCCTGGGTCTCTCGACCCATCTGCCCGGCCCCCACCCTATGGTGGTCCACCTATGTCACTTTCAGACACAGAGCTATGGGAAGCCACTCCTTAGAAACCAGAAAGTTACCACTCAAGAATACGAAACATTCAAATACGGTCTTAAAACTTTCCTGTCCCCATCCCCTTTTACTATATACATCTCCCAGTTTCTTAAGAATAAACACTGGTGCTTGCCAGAATGGGGGAAACAAGGGGATGGGGAATTAGTGCTTGATAAATTCAGTTTCCTTGCAAGATGGAAAATGTCCTGGAGATGGGTGGTAGCGATGGTGGAACATCACTGAACCATGTTCCTCAGAATGGTAAGCTGGCACATCCTATGGTGTATAGATACTGTTTCCAAAAGGAAGCCAAGTTGCCCAATGTCTGAACTTTTAGCCCAGTGGGGGTTCACCACTGGCTCCTGTTTATTTTAACTCTATAATACACCATAGGAATTCCAAATCTTATAAATACAGAGGAATGTAAAAATGGGGAAACTCTGTAACTGAATGTTTCTTCTAATTGCACTTCTATTAGCCCACAAATTTCAATAGTTGATAATTTGCAATAGAGTGCTCTTTTTTACCTAGCAGATTTATAGAGTACTTTCTCCTTTAAGAAAAAATTAAATTAAGAAAAATGAATTCCACACATATGCTGGTGGCCTAACAGTTTAGCCAAACAAATACAAAATGAAACAACCACTTGCTCAAACTGTCAGGTTGAGTCGGCAAGTCTTTGCACAAGCCTGTAGTACAGGACTGCAAAGAGAAATTTCAGCAGTTCTGAATCCAGACTTCAAATGTTCTAGCATCACTCACAATGCGTCCATCACCACTGCCAATGTCCACCAGGGGCCCTCGTCTGTGTCGCAGCATTTTCACCACATTTTCAGTCTGCTTTGCAGTTGCAGGTACAAAAGGCAGGCAAATCTTCCGGAAGGCTGGTGTGATAAATGGTGTCGCTACAGCATACACGGCCAAGAGAGCCCCGCCAACAACACCAGTGAAGAACAGCCCCCAAGTGCTTCCCTTCACACTACTGGCTTCGGGACTCGGAGGGACACCATGTCCACACGGCCTTTCTTCTCGGAGCACTTCCAAGGGTGCACCTGCATTGACAGCAAGCAGAAAACACAAGTGGCACAAGCTGGAGCCCCAGACTGCACTTTCCCATGCAACTCGTACTGACAAATAGTGCTTTTTAAAGAAGGATATTTAGCTGAATTCAATCACAGGCACAAGGAACGATTCCACAATGGGTCCTAAATCCCATTAACAAAATTTAAATGATTTGGAGAAACTTATTCAATACTAATGGAAAAGTGACATCTTTTCTTTCCAACATACTGCTTTTGTGTGTGTCTCGGAATCATCTTGAGAAAACAATATATTAAAACTGAGCTAGTGGCTGGGCATGGAGGCGCACACCATTAACCCCAGCACTTAGGAGGCTGAGGCAAAGGATCACCAGGAGTTTGAGGCCAGCCTGGGCCACATGGTAAGACCCTGTCTCAAAAAGTAAAACAAAAGTGGCGATCCCCCTGCCTTAGCCTCCAGAGTGCTGGGATTAGAGGCGTGTGCCACCACACATGGCAAAAGAGCCCAATCAATAAATGGCCAAATGAACTGAACAGAAAATTTTTTAAAGAATTAAAAATAGCCAATAAGTATATGAAAAAATATTCAATATCTTTAACCGTTAGGGAAATGCAAATCAAAACTACACTGAGATTTTGAATGAGGAAAGACCAACTCCACAAAGCAGAAGTGTGAAATAAGCCCCAACTACAAAATCTAAAATGCCCTTGGACTCAAAAATATCTCATATGCACATGCCAGCATCTCACTATTCTGTGCCAGTATGTGCCAATTAACAAATATTCTTTTAAAAATAATAAATAAAATACTCTTGATAGGGAAAAGGAAAGAAGGGAAAAGAAAAAATATGAGAAAAGGAAAAACATGGAAACAAAGTCTTTGTAAATAGGGAGGGGTAGAGGGGGTGAAGGGAGGCCAGGGGAATGAGGAAAAAATAAGAATTAAAAAAAAAAAGAATCAAGATACATCATGTAAGGGTACAAGATCCCAATGATGAATGTAACTGTATTGTGTACCTAAAATGTACCAATAAACTTAATGGAAAAAGAAATATTCTTGGGGTTCACTCTAAGTCTAGTGAGGCAGTGGGCCAGACATCTGCAGAGGCTAATGGATCACAGATCATCCAGTAAATTCAATTCTTGGTCCTCGGGCCAAGGCTAAACATAATTCCTATCATTTCCACGTTTACTGAGTACCTAATAAAACCTGGGAGTAATACAGCAGTTGGGAGTGGAGAGACTGAAAATTCACAAGTAAATCTAAGCAAGGTACTAACTAGGTTACCAGAAAATATCTTCCTGAGGGAGCATAACACGGGTTAAGACACCAGCTGGGAATAGTGGCACATACTGGTAAACCCCATTCCTCCTGAGGCTAAGGAAGGCAGGAGGTCCCTCTCAACCTGGACTACAAAACAAGATCGGGTATTAAAAAATAATAATAAAATCAAATTAAAAAAAAAAGCCGGCTGTGGTGCCACACGCCTGCAAGCCTGCAGCCTACAGTTCCAGCAATCTAGGAGGCTGGGTCAGGAGGATCACAACTCAGGGAGCTCATCTCAAAATTTAAAAACACAAAAAGGGCAAAGGATGTAGCTCAGTACAACTGTCCTCAGTAGCGCCACAAAAAAAAAAAAAAAGAAAAAAGAAAAAAGACCACTTGTACCCAGAACAGCAGGCTGTATAACCTGTTACTATCGGTATAACCTTGGAGGGGTTACTGGATTTGTGCATGAGGGATTTACTTAACATTTAAACACTGCGTGCGAAAGAAGAGGCACTGTTCTCCCCGGCTCCTTAAAGCAGCCCCGTCAAGGTAGACACCAGGGCTATCCAGGCAAAAAAGCCGAGGCACAAAGAGGCTAAACAACTTCCCGAAGACGCGGCGGTTAAGCCGCCGAGCTGTGACCGCCTTCTAGGCAGCGTGCGTCCGGTACCCACATAATCCCCGCACGACCTGAGGACCGGCACCGTTAAACGGCAGCCCGCCCGCACACCGACCCCGACGGGCCCCCTAGTGGCGACCGAGGCTGGCCGAGAGGCCGCCGATTACACCCGCACCACATCCCAGGTTGTCCCCGCTCCCCTTCCCCAGGACTTAAGGGAAACGCCATGCCGTTCCGGCCTCACCTCCTCCTCCCTCCATCGCGAGATTTCCCGGAGAGCGAAATACGGAAGTGGGCTCTACCACCTTCTCAGAGTCAGGGTGGAAGAAAGAGAGAAAAAGTTTTTGAAGTAAAGGAACTCCTAATTGGGACTCGCTACTCAGAAGCCCTCAGCGATTAAGCTTTAATAAGTGACTAAATTTAACTACTCGGGTACTTTTAGGGTACTAAAAGTTCCCACCGTGTCTTCAAATCCCCCCCACAACTACTTGAATGATGGAAGTTTCCGAAGGCCGCTAATTCCAGAAGGTACTTTCGGGCGTTAAACTCGTCTCGGTTGAAAAATGTCTCACGTGGTCTTACTGCGCATGCGCAAACTGTCATTTCCTCTGGTGAGAGGAAGGCGTGTTCTCAGTTCGGGAGTGGCCACCGCCGGCGTGCGGGAAAGTAAGTCTCGCTGCTACACCATGACGTCCGTGGGGACCCTTGCCTTCGACGAATATGGGCGCCCTTTCCTCATTATCAAGGATCAGGAACGCAAGACTCGTCTTATGGGACTTGAGGCCCTCAAGGTAACGGCCCAGGTTACGTTTGCGGTGGGATAATGGGGAGGCTGCGCAAGTGGTGGCTCTGCGCCTGCGCGAGTTCGGGAGCTGCTCCTGCCATGTGCTGCCGGGAGAGGTCGAGAATCCTCTCCTAGGCCACCCCTCTGGGTTCCAGCCGCGCACCCCTCTGCCGGTGCCCGGGAGAGACTGGCGGATAAGCTTTTAGTGCTAGTGTGTGGAGCAGGTGGGGCAGCTTTGTTCTGCCAGCGAGCATGACAGGTTCTGGCGGCGCTGCAGCCTGGCTGACCCACCGCGTCCGGGTTTCCAGCAGACTACGCCGGGAAGCTGGGCTCGGTCACCTGTCCCGCCGAGGCTGCACGGCCCGAAGAAACGGAGGCTGACTTGCTTTGTCGCTCCTAGGGGTTTAGTCATTTGCAAAGTAGCTTTTGAGTGCTTTTGCGTATGGCACATTCCTGAAAGCGGTGTAAAAATAGCCAGACCCTTAGGGAAGAAAGTAACTTGCAGGAGAGCAAAGTGGATACACCTAACTGTAATCCGAGGCGGGGTGTGATCAGAGGACCAACGAAGGAAGGGATGCAGATAGGAGCGGAGGGAGCGCTTCAGCGTTTGCTGGGGGATAGTGTGGAAGAGAGGTGCCATTGGAGACAGTAGCTAATTCAGAACTGGAACAGGAAGACACGTGGCAATTTATTGAACAGAAGAAAAATCCAGTTCTAATGGAACACACTCCATACAGCAAGCTGCACTGTAGGGCTCAACAACGTTCGATCTAGGTTGAGAGAGAAGGAAAGACCATAGAATGATCTGAAAACAGATGTTGACAAATGCGGTACGAGTGCCACTCGGGTCTGTGTGTGTGGACCGGTTTTATGGTGTCCGTGTTCACTTAGTGCCATATGGTTTTTGCAGTTTGCTCCTGCTGTTTGACTACCATGGCAGGTGAGGCAACCCGAAACTGACTGCCCAGTGGCAATAATTCCTCTGGCACTGAGGACTTCACCCTATTAAATGGGGTGCCTGAAGGGCTGGTCACACTGCATACTCTGTGCTAGGGACTCAGAATTTCGCTCCTTTGTAGGAGAAAGTTTAAAGCTACTTGTAGCACATATTCAATTCTATTCTTCACCTAAATGCACTTGCAGATTAAAGGAACATAAAGTACACGCTGCAAATTTAACAACATAATGAAAGCTGCAAGTTATTTTGAATTAGTCCTTTTGTGCTCTTCTCTTGGATAATTGCATGTAATGCTCACACTGAGATATTGGTAGTTTACGCAGAGTAGGAAACGGGACCAGTGAGGGCCAAAATTAACCGTGATCACACAGCTTTTAAATAACAGGGCCGTGATTCAAGCCCACCTGTCTGGGTCAAAGCCGGTGGTCTAGAGTAGAATAGTCAGTGTTGGACTGACTGAGCCCGGACGTTCTCGGCTGTGGAGGCCTCCCTGTGCTGGATGTTCAGCAGGGAGCCCTTGAGCGCTGCCCCTCTGTGCTGGTGTGGTCGCATCCATCCCCCTCTCCATTTTGATGACCAAGAATGTGTCCACATGTTGTCAGGTCTTCTGGGGACAAAATTGCCCCTTCCCAGTTCAGAAGCACTTTCCTCTGATTATTATCCCTTAAAAATTCCATCACAAAGACATAACTTCTCAAAGTATATTTTAAGGATTACAGTACCAATATTTTCATAGGCCAAGCGCACCCTGTGTCTTTGTATTGTGTCAAATGGCACAGCCACAAAAGGCTTCTGGGCGTGTACATTTGAACTGCCTTAAAAAGCTGGTCAAGATTCGGAGGGGTGGAGACTGTGCCTGGGGACCAAGGGACATGTCTGGTGTCAGGCATAGACCTCTTCACCAGAAAGGAGCTGGGTCTCTCAGAGTGTGGAGGGGTCATGTGTACATTTGGAATTGACTGCAAGAATTTCTCTGTCCAGATGTAGCAGTAGGACTTAGTTTTTGTCTTCCTAGAACACTGATGGTGAACCTTTCAGAGACCAATTGCCCAAGCTGTGACCCAAAACCCACTTGTTTGTTGCAGAGTGCCAACACTGCGATTAAACCTGAGTGCTTGGTTGCTGGGACACGACACACTGCTGACAGTGGCCTGTGTGTGCCCACTGTGGCTGGCACACCTGCCTTGAATTCGCTGCCACTGTCCTCGAATGTGGAAATGAAGATCTGGGGCTCATTCGGGTGGTAATAAGAGCACTGAAGTTATAAGAATTGGATGCTCTGGGTGGTTGCTCAACAGTTTAAGGATGTAGATGGGTACTTGGCCCCTAGTCTCATAGAACTTAAAGCTGGCTTAAAGAATAGGTGAAAAATTGAAGGGAGCAGTAGAAGAAATGGCAGAAGCCATAACAGTTGAATATTCAAAAACCTCACCTTTGTGTGTGTGTGTGTGTGTGTGTGTGTGTGTGTGTGTGTGTGTGTATATACCAGGGATCGAACTCGGGACCTTGTGCTTGCGAGGCAGGTGTTGGCACCACTGAGTTACATCCCAGGCCCAAACTTCAGATGTTGTTGTTGCTGTTGTTGTTGTTGTTGTTCAGCTGCTGTTGTTGTTTTCAAGAAACATTCTTTGGCATTTAGAAACTTAAGTGTAATAAGAATGTGTTGAGATTCTTCAATTGTGTGATACTTCACAGTGATTTGCTTTAAAATTGAGGCACCAGTCAGCATAGGAAGGAGCTGTATTCTAAAAGCACAGGGCCCAGGGATTTAGCTCAGTGACACCTCACCTGCCTCACAAGTACAAGGTCCTACATTCGATCTCCAGTACTGGAAGAAAAGAAAAGGGCAACCTAAGTGCCTGATCAGCAAAATAATTAGTGAGCAGGGCCATCAAACTCTGGGGCTTGGTGTTGCGATTCTTCTGTGGAAACAGAATTGGAATTTATTCGTACCACTGAGTTGAGCAGCTAGATGTAGTGAGAAGAAATACCAGATAAACTTCATTATTCTAACGTTCCTCACCGCATCTCTTGATCTGTAATTATATGTAACTGCAACCTCAGACAGGTTGCAGATTTTTTAGGGTGAGAGAACAAACAGTTAAAAGAGCAGGCGTCTGCCTGCTTGTGTGCCCTCAGACTCTCTGTTACTGACTTCTCAGCCACTGCGTGGACCTATCTTCAGAAATTGATCTTCCTGCACACTGATAGGCAAGAGTGACTCCTGTGTGCCTGGGTAGGCATGGGCATGTGAATTCGTCTCCACAGTAGGCCATGGTGTGAAAGCTCGGGGCACTGTGTGTTTACCTGACCTTAGGCTCCGGGTGTCAGTGTCTGGAGCTGGAAAGTGAGCTGATGAGAGAATCTGCCTGGCTGGTGTGTTGCAGATTCAGTGAGAACACAAACAAAACTCCTGCTTCTGTTTCTTTCCCATAGAATTGCCTGCTACAGTTTGTACAGGCCGAACTGGATGAAAACTGAATCGCATTCTACAAAGGCCAACACTGAACCTAACCCCTGAATTTGATCCAGTTCTTGTCCAGTTCAGTTTGTGACCAGAATGGAGGAAAGAATTAAGTTCGTGAACGAGGCACCGCTATAGTTGTGAATGTTACCACATTTAGTTCTAGACCTGTCTGTAGCCTCTTGAATGTAGAAGGTTCTAGAGGATAGAAAGTATCATAAGTGATCCTTGTGATCATCCGCTGTATGCTTCAAAGTATTTGAAATTATCTGTGACTGAATGTTTGATGTTTTTGTTTGTTTCATTTAGTCTCATATAATGGCGGCAAAGGCTGTGGCAAATACAATGAGAACATCGCTTGGACCAAATGGTGAGAGTCTAACAGTCTTGTTTTTTAACAGAAGTTTCCCATTAGTAGTCGGTACAACCTCTTCCCAAAAGAGAGGGGCAGTGGTATCCTAGTACCCTAAAACAGTCAGAATACTAAAATGTGTACATTTTTTCCTCAGTTAGCATTTCATTGGCATTTCCCAAGTCACCGGTGGTGTTCTTTTGAGACTAACGCTAAATTCAGTGATGGTCTCCTGCTCTGGCTCCATTCAGCTGGCTTCAGTGTGTTGCTCTGGCTCGGCCGGCCTGAAGCTGTTTTATGTGTGTTGAATTGTGTGTCCAGTAAGCTGCATAGACGCGTGTGGGGTCAAGAGACCTTGTCAGTGTTCGTGACACTGTGCCCCCCGTGCCGCTGTCTTCCCAGGGCTGGACAAGATGATGGTGGATAAGGACGGCGATGTGACCGTGACGAACGACGGGGCCACCATTTTAAGCATGATGGATGTTGACCACCAGATTGCCAAGTTGATGGTGGAGCTGTCCAAGTCCCAGGATGATGAGATTGGAGATGGAACCACAGGCGTGGTTGGTAAGAAGACAGAACATCCTCTCGTTTAGGAAGTGCCGTTCAAACCAGCCAGGGGGCTAGTGTGCCTGCTGAGGATGTTATCCTGAGCACGACATGAGGAGACAGTTGAACAAATCCGCAGTGAAGGAAACCCCACAGATCGGGAAACCCAGACCTTTTCAAATGCGGTAGGAAGTGAGTGGGTGCTGGCCGGCAGTGAGAAGGGTCAGCCCGCTGTGGTGTGTGATTCCTGAGGTGGGTTTTTTCTTAAGGAAGAGTCAACCTTGGATGCACCTGCTGAGCGTGAGCGATATTTGGGGCAGCGGGAGGATTTGGTTTGGGTTGTACACCACCTGACTGTGTCAGTGTTCGGTCTCCGGGTGTGGCGGTCACACTGGCGGCACAGAGAATGTCTGTAACGTGGAGCTGTGCCGCATCAGGATTCTACGCCTAATTCTCCAAACAGCTTGGAAGCCTGTGCAGAGAACACGGCAAGATGTTAACCTAGTAGTCATCTTAGTGAAGTGTGTGTGTGCCTGTTGGCTTCTTATGAGACGAGATCTCACTGTGGAGTTCAGGCTGCGGTTCACTAAGTAGCAGAGGCTGGTCTCGAACTCACGGTGGTCCTCCTGCCTCAGCCTCCCCAGTCTTGGGATTACAGGCGTGCACCACCACGCCTGGCACTAGCAGTCATTTTACTATTGCAGTATTTTACTCAGAGTTTGAACTGCTTGTGGTAAAATATTGGGGGGGGGGTGGCGATCCGTACCTTTAAGGTTACCTTTCCCACAGCTGATTTAAATCCATTTCTCAGTAGAATTTGTTGGTGCCACTGTGTGTCTGGCACCGTAATAAGGGGAAGGGAGAGTTGGTGATGGATGAGTAACAAATCAGTTTGTGAGTCCTACTTGGCACAGTCTCAGTCAGAGTCCCCAGCCCAGCCAACCTGGCTGTCGCTCCTATGCTCTCTCTCGGGTGACGGCCGCTCACCTCTGGGCACCCCACTGACTGCAGTCCCCTCACAGTGCTGGCCGGCGCCCTGCTGGAGGAGGCCGAGCAGCTGCTGGACCGCGGCATCCACCCCATCAGGATCGCTGACGGCTACGAGCAGGCCGCACGCATCGCCATTGAGCACCTGGACAAAGTCAGCGACAGTGTCTTTGTGGACACGAAGGACACCGAACCCCTCGTTCAGACAGCGAAGACCACGCTGGGCTCCAAAGTGTACGTGTGGCGCCGGTTACACATTCTGGGGAGGTGGATTCGCCTGTCCCAGGGGCAGCTGCATGATCACCATCCCCGGTGGTTTGGTACTGATTGGATGAAGTGTCTGTTATTTTGCTTTTGATTTTCTTGTTGGTTTTTTTGTTTGTTTGTTTGGGGTTTTTTTTGTTTGTTTGTTTGTCTTTTTTTGGTACCGGGGAATTGAACTCGGGTCCTTGCGCTTGCAAGGCAGGCCACCGAACCACTGAGCTAAGTCTCCAGCCCAACTTTTAATTTTCTTAATCCAGGTAAAGATGTGTGCATTTTGTTTTTAGTTGGAAGATGAATTTGCCAATTAAGTTGCTACCTCCTTTTGACGGTGTTTTTACAGCATGTACTCCTTCAATTTAGCAACTTAGGCTGCTTTACAAGCAACTAGATAGGGTTTGTCTTAGTTTCTTTTAGGCACTTTTCTCTTTGTTGCTGAGACAGAATCCCCAACACCCAGAGTTAAAGGGGGGAAGGTGTACTTGGCTCACAGTTTGTAATCGGCTGGCTCCGAGGCAGGGTGACAGGGTTACCAGTTCATCCTGGCAGAAGGTAGCAAAACAAGCAAGGGACAACCACAGCTCCTTCTGTCCCTTACATCTTACCCAGGGTACTTAGGGCGGGCAGCACTCACACCCTGATCCTAGCACCCCTGACCCTAGCACCTCACCATGAAACAGTTCCAGCGTCACACACTCGAGATCCAGCCGCATCTGAGAAAGCCCCACCTGTGACTGTGTGAGTCTAGACACAGGCCATAACGGGCTCCCATTGGGATGTTTTTGTTTTTGAGACAGGGTCTCGCCTTGTAGTGCAGGCTAGATTTGAATTCACTGTGTGGCCCAGGCTGGCCTTGAACTTGAGATACTCCTGCCTCAGCCCCTTGAGTGCTGGGGTCACAGGCGTGCGCCCCCACTCTCAGCTGTTGAGTTTCGTAACAGTTGTGTTATTTCTCTACTAGGCAGCCATGTAGGGAAAAAAGGTTCTACTTTTCATTTGTTCAGCAAGATTCTTTACTAGTCTAAAACTACTTTGGTAAGGAGAGACTGTCTTGAAGTTGATTTACCAAGCAGCTTCTGCATTGGCCTGATGCCTCCTGTTTGCCAGACCCTCTGCTAAGTCTGAGAGGCCCGGAGATGGAGTTGTTGCCCCTGGATACTGAGCATCTCACCCACTGGATGAACTTACTTTAAACAGTGAGAGAAGCTGATGGTTCCCTGCCACAGTGCAGCCACCCTCTGACCCTTTCCTTTTCAGTCTACAGCACAGATATGTCGTGATGTGTGCACAGATGTGTGCTAGCCCAGGGAAAGGGAGGCGTGGTCTCTAGCCTTAGAGGCCAGGGGAGCGCAGTGGAAGTGTCTGCTGGCTCCTGGCAGAGGAAAGACAGATGGACGCGGCCACTTGAGCTGTGGCAGAGGCTGTGCTATCACCAGGTGTCCTCTGGCTGTGGTTCTGGCTGGTCCAGCTCCAAATGGCTAGCTGCCCTGGAGTGGCCTCTGGTGCACTGTGTCCTGAGAAGACAGCATTCCTGGGGCTGGGGGTACAACGTCGAGTCTGGCTGTTTTCGGAGTTGAGGCAGCTCACTTTGCAAGTCTGTGAAACCCACACAAAGGTCTCAACTGCAGAGCACGCTCAGACCAATCAGTGGTGCCAGGTCCATCTTCCCTAAAGCAGAAGGCAGCCACCGATGGAACATTAACATTTCATGGCTCTTTTCCTAGATGCCTACTGCTAGGCTTCCCCTTGTAGTTCTTGTAAACTCTAGCAGTCTTGAGATATTTCACAGCTTTCAATTGTGACTGATGTACATTTGCTGTTCTGCTTTTGAACTGATAAATGGCAGTGGAGGGTTTTTTGCTTGGTTGTTGGGGGGTTGTTTGTTTTATTTTGTCTTGAGACAAGGTCTCATTGTGTCATTCAGAATGGTCTTGAACTCACTTTGTGCCCCAGTCTGGCCTTGAACTCACAGCAGTCCTCCTGCCTCAGCCTCCCAAGTGCGGGAATTACTGGTGTGCGCTGCCACGCTCAGCTTTGTTGGGAGTTTTACTCTGTTTTCTCGGGCCCTTGAATTCAGTGTAGCCCAAGCTGATATTGAACTTAGCTCCTGCCTCAGCCTCCCGAGTACGGTAGTAATCTTTAAAGTAGTGCAGTCTTGAGAAAATCCTTGAATGCTTGCTGTGCTGCACTGGTCTTTATGTGCATTCAAAATGGAAGGAGAGTGAATTGCAGTAATGGAAAATAAAGAGGTCGGGTTTCCCTCTCAGAGTGTGGTCCCCCTGGTCCGTGGATCCTGTTGAGAACCCTGCTGCTGTTGGAAGTGCAGGGGCCGATGGGCTTCCCCTTGGGAACACGCATGAGTGTCCACATTGCCGTGCAGTGCTCTGCTGTGGCCGCGGTAACGGCGCAGGGTTCTGGTGTCTCCGTAGCGTCAACAGCTGTCACCGACAGATGGCAGAGATTGCCGTGAACGCCGTGCTCACCGTGGCTGACATGGAGCGCAGGGACGTGGACTTCGAGCTCATCAAGGTGGAGGGCAAGGTGGGCGGGAGGCTGGAGGACACCAAGCTCATCAAGGGCGTGGTCGTGGACAAGGACTTCAGCCACCCGCAGATGCCCAAGGTGAGTCCCAGCCCCGCCGTGCCCCGCGGCCCCAAGGCCCCACCACTCACCTTGCGCCTTTCTCCCTAGCGAGTGGAAAACGCCAGGATCGCCATCCTCACGTGCCCCTTTGAGCCACCCAAGCCGAAGACAAAGCACAAGCTGGACGTGAGCTCCGTGGAGGGCTACAGAGCCCTTCAGAAGTACGAGAAGGACAAGTTTGAGGAGATGATTCGGCAGGTGAGGCCTGGCCGAGGCTGAGCACTGTGCAGGCAGTGGGCAGGGGCGCTGGGTTCAGATTTAAATCCTACGAATACGCAGCAGCCAAGAGACAGGCGGGAAGGGGAAAGGGATTTCCAGGGCTCCTGGTCGTTGCTGTTCCTTAAGGAAGCATGAAGGTGCTATAGGAAACGTGGTGCAGCAGTTACGAGCACGCATTATATACACCGGCACGCGGTGCTTGTACAGTTTCTGTGTTCAGATTTAGAGCTGTTGACAAACTATTACACAGGCATTCCTTTTCATTTAATGAAATAAATTGACCTTGATTATTGTAATACTTTAATCGGTGTGTATAACAGTGTTCCTATCTGGGCAGTAATTATTCAGGCTCAAGCAGCCAAGGAGATTAGGTCCATTTCTAGCTGTTTTGGTGAGTGAAAAGAGCACACAGGCGATTGGACGGCTCTGCGGTGCCGGGCCCCCAGGGACAGTCATGCATGCGCCCCTGGTGGTTGAGGCCTCAGGAGCACAGTAGAGAAGCGGCAGCCATACTGGAGTATGGACGCTCGCTCTCCACGTCCAGACAGAACTCCAGCCCCGAGGCCACCCCGTGAGGGGCTGTCCCGTGGCGGGCGTGAGGTCACAGCTGCTCCCCTGGCTGCAGTAAGTGCGGTGCCGCCCGACCGCAGTCTGCAAATGGGGTGCCGGTCCTGCGCGGTGGCCGCAGCCAGCCAGAAGCCACTCGGTCTGTTCCGAGGGAGTCCCGGAGTCCTCCTGTTCTTGCGCTGCATCTCCGGTGCCTGCCGCCCAGCCGGGGCTTGGAGCGAGCGTGACTCGGTGGGCGCTCAGGTGCCAGGCAGGGAGGCCCTCTGCAGGGTCTCCAAGAGGACAGGGACCATCGCCGCCATCCGAGGAACAGCCGGCGGGTGTGCACTGGTGACAGGGTCGATGGCTCCACACTCACAGGGGCCTGGGCCAAGGGACCGAGCAGGTGCAGAGAAGGAGAAGCACGGGGTGTCATCGTTTCGGGAGCTTCGCTCCTCCCGGACAGGAGCCCTCCTGAGTGTGGGGGATGGGGCTCTTGACCTTTTCGGAGGGAGCGAGGCTCTCGCTGACAGTTCCCTTGGCTTCACTAATACGGGTTCGCTGTCTGGTTTGTTGTCCCTGTGACGACGAAATAGACATTCCCCTCACACAGCCCACTGCGTTCCCCGACTTCTCACCGATGCAGCTGCGCCTTTCCTTTCCCAGATTAAAGAAACCGGTGCCAACCTCGCCATTTGCCAGTGGGGCTTTGACGATGAAGCGAATCACCTGCTCCTTCAGAACAGCCTGCCTGCCGTCCGCTGGGTGGGAGGCCCCGAGATCGAGGTAGGAGCCCGAGTGCAGCCTCTGGCGGGAGCTGAGCGCGTTACACCGGCGAGAGGGGCGGAGGTGCTGCGTTCACCTGCTCCAGCTCACCTGACTGAGCTCTGGGTCGGGAAGGCCGGGCCCCTCCCTCCGGGGTCGGTCCTCCCCACGGTCCTCCTGAGCAGCGAGCCTGAGAACCTTGCCCCAGTGTGGTCGGGCGTCTGTGGCCTGCCTCTGGGAGTCATGGTCCCATCTTCGTCCTCCCTGACCCACCCACTCAGCTGATTGCCATCGCGACCGGAGGCCGGATTGTCCCTCGGTTCTCGGAGCTCACCACGGAGAAGCTGGGCTTCGCCGGGCTGGTGCAGGAGATCTCGTTTGGCACCACAAAGGACAAGATGCTGGTCATCGAGCAGTGCAAGAATTCCCGGGCTGTCACCATCTTCATCAGGGGTGGGAATAAGATGGTGAGGCTCACGCCCTCGGCTCTCTGCTGCCCTTTTTGCCTGTGATGTGTTTGACTCAGTTACCGCTAAAGGTGTTTCTCAAAGAAAGAGTGACACATCATGTACCGTTGCTGGCTTTCTGCTGTCCCTTAGGTAGAATCAAGAAACCCAGGCAAATGACTGTGACAGTCACTGCGGGCTGTCAGCGTGCGGCTCCTCGGCAGGGCCAATGAGAAAGGCTCAGTGCCCGCTGCTGTCCCTGAGCAGCGTCCCCCAGGGGCTGTCGGAGACTGGGCCCTGAGAGGGTCTGGATCACGTTGCTCTCATGCTGTCACTGCTCCTTAGATCATCGAGGAGGCCAAGCGATCCCTTCACGACGCCCTGTGTGTCATCCGGAACCTCATCCGCGACAACCGCGTGGTGTACGGTGGGGGCGCGGCCGAGATTTCCTGCGCGCTGGCCGTGAGCCAGGAGGCGGACAAGGTGCGAGCGGGAGACCCGGGCTGGTGACTGGGTGGGCGGTTCTGCAGCCTCCTCGCACATGGCTCTCGCCCTGTCTGGGTTCTCCGCGGGCCTTTTACCATTTGCGCGGGTTAAAGCTGGAGCAGCTCGGGTCCCAGCCAGCCGCGGACTCAACGCCTGTCCCCACAGTGCCCGACCCTGGAGCAGTACGCCATGCGCGCCTTCGCAGACGCGCTGGAGGTCATCCCCATGGCCCTGGCGGAGAACAGCGGCATGAACCCCATCCAGACCATGACCGAGGTGCGTGCCCGGCAGGTGAAGGAGGCCAACCCCGCCCTGGGCATCGACTGCCTGCACCGGGGCACCAATGGTGAGTGAGCGTGTTTCCCTGCCAGGTGCCGCTCGTGTGGGTCACTGGGACTGGTCAGGTGTTTCCCGAGTCTGCGGATCCTCGCCTCTGGCTTTAGAGCGGGGTTCTGTCGGGGCCGGGATTTAGCTCAGTGGTGCCACCACCTGCCTTGCAAGCACAAGGTCCTGGGATCGATCCCTGGTACCAAAACAATAAAAAGAAGGGAAGTGATTCCCTCAGAATCCGACCCCCCATGCAGCAGCTCTGTGCGGGTGTCGCCCATAGCCGGCTGGCTGTCAGCGTCAGCGGTGGGGCTTCTGTCCAGGCTTCCGTGAGGACGAGGCCAGGTCCAAGTTCTGAGTCAGCCCTGCTCACGCGCGGCCTCCGTGGGCCTCCACTGGTGAGGCGAGCTGGCCCTGGTCGGAGGGAGAGCAGCTCTGTTGGTCATGTTGGAGCCCAGAGCGTCATCCGGGGAGGACGCGGCTGAGGCAGTGCCCCTGCGGCCTGCATGGCGCGGGCTGCGGAGGTGGCTCTGGCTGTGCTGCTCCGGCCTCGGACTCCGGCTCCCGCCCCCATCACTGCACCCGGGCGGGGCCGCAAATTACTGACACAGGGTGATTTACCCGTGCTTTTCAGATATGAAGCAACAGCATGTCATAGAAACCTTGATTGGCAAAAAGCAGCAGATCTCTCTGGCAACACAAATGGTCAGGATGATTTTGAAGATAGACGACATCCGGAAGCCGGGAGAGTCTGAGGAGTGAGGAGAGAGAGAATCGGACGCAGTGGCGGAGGTCATGTGTCCCCGCGCCCTTTCCAGGCGCTGTCCTCGCTGTTTGGTAGCTGTGGTTTCACTCGCTAGTGTGATTGCAGGGTGCGTGCCACAGGCTTGTGTGTTCACTAAAGCGGTCTCTTTAAACCTCTTATCTTCTCCAAGATTGAGAAGCGTCCTTGTAATAGTCATTAAATTCTGCCTTCATTGGAGGGGTTTCAGGCTACATTCTTCAGAGTGAACTGTAGGAGCTCTTCCCGCCTCTTGGATCTGAGGTTCCTTTCAGCCAGGGGAGCACAGGCCCAGTCCCATCCCAGGGCTTCTGGTCTCGGCGCCTTAGCCCAGCTGTGCCGCGCAGACCCCTAACCCTCCATGTGTCCGCCACCACCAGCCCTGAGGCGGCCCTGGCCCAGGCACAGTGGAGGGGATGCTTGGGCTGTAGGGAGGCAGGCCTCGGGCGCCTGTGCGGCGACACTGCTGGGCTCCACTGCCTCAGAACTAGGTGGGCCACGTGTGGCCCGCATCTCGGTAGTGAGCCAGGCTGAGCCTGTGGGCCCTGCGCTGCATAAGGGGCCGGATGGGCCAGAGGGGCCAGGCTCTGTCCCTGGCCCGGTCAGCCTTGCCCGCCCCTCATCTCCAGGTGGCCAGGCACCTTGAGGGAGCGGGGTGGGGGACTGCGACTGTCCTTACTGCGGCACAGCAGCTTTCCTCTTTAGATGTGACCACCAGGGCTCGGAAGGCAGATCTGACGCTGGGTGTGGCCACCATCACATTTCCAGGGCTCCGTTCCCTGTCCCCGGGGAGGTCCGGGGTGCAGACACCTTCCTTGTACAGCTGCTCAGGGACAGCCCCCCGCCACCTGCGGTCTGGCATCTGCCTGCCCTAGTCCAGCTACCACCCCTGCCAGAAGCCGGCTGGAAAGGCTTCTGCCTGGTGCCTCCGTTTCTCCCACTGCCTTCTGGCACCCAGTGACCCCTGCCGGCGCACAGGTCTCTGGAGGGGACCTGGTCACCTGCTGTGCATTAGGCCGCCCAACACAAGCATCCCATTTGCTGGCTGCTGTGGTGTAAGCTGTGGCCCCGCTACTCAGGAAGCCAAGGCAGGAGAATCACTCGAGCCCAGGAAGTTCAAGGTCAGCCTGGGCAGCACAGCAAGACTCAAAACAGCAAACCAGAAGTATCCTGGAAGGGCACCCCAGACATCCGTGGCCGAACCTCTTGGGGACTCGTGGAGCAGGGCTGCGGGACACTGCAGAGCAAAGTCGGGGATTGGGGTGCGGTGCTGCCCGGCAGAAACCCCAGCCACTCAGCATCCTGAGGCAGGAGGACGGGTTCAAGGCCATCCTGGGCGCTTCCACAAGCCCTGCTCAAAATGATAATGGCCAGGGGCACAGCCCTGTGTAGAACACCTGGGTTCCCTCCCTAGGGCCACAGAGTGAAGGGCAGAACTGAGCCCGGGACCCAGAGCCAGCGTCGAGAAAGGACAACAGCTACACCACCCTCTGCTGTTAGCTTCAGGGAAAAACAAATCAGTTCATTATCCAATACAGTGAAGTCAGTAGAAACTACTTCGGCCTTACACAGACGTGAGACGGGAGGCTCTAAGACAGGTGAACAGCTGATGAGCCTCAGCCCCCACCCCGGGCGTGCTCGCCGCAGTGAGGACACCACCGGTGGGCAGCCCTCAGCAGCCCCAGGACTCTCCTTACTGCTCTCCTACCAGTTTTTTTAGTTTTCACTGATACACACATACAAGATTATTTCCATACATCAGTTTTTCCCCAGTTGATTTCAGATCAATTTAATTCCAGCATCCCCACATTTATATTTTTTTAAGTAAAACTAAATGAGCGAGGCACTTCCGGTCAGTTGGGACGAAGCAAGAGTGAGGTGTGAGCCCGCCGGCTGCTACACGAACTTGTGCAGCCACTCCACCAGGTTCCTGCGGGCCTCGTCGATGTAGGGCTTGTCTGCCGGCTGGCAGTCTTCCTTCTTGCGGTGCACAAAGCCGTGGGTCTGCCCCGTGAAAGTCTTCACTTGATGATCCACCCTGCAGTGTTGCTTCAATTTCTGGGTCAGCAGAGAGACCTGATGAGCAGAGAGATCGGTGACGATAGGATTGTAACCCTTAGCAATATTCTCTGTTCTCTTTTAAGTCTTCAGTGGGTGTTCATGAGAGAAATTCAATATCAGGGCTGTATAGTATAGACGTTTCACAGCTATACTGAATTCTTTTTTGGTACCAGGGATCAAACTCAGGACCTTGCACTTGCAAGGCAGGTGTGGTGCCACTGAGCTAAATCCCCGGCCTATATCACATTCTTTACTTTTTACTTTGTGACCGTTCTTAGCACTGACAAAGGGGATTTCAGGGCAACATGAACATCATACAACAGAAAAGGTGCTCCTACCTAGCCTTAGAGCGGGCTGTCCAGGTAACCTATCATGAGCTGAAAATAATGAAGGACAAAACTCCACTGGGCTGGGGATCTAGCTCAGTGGTGCCACCTCCTGCCCCTCAAGCGCAAGGTCCTGAGTTCCATCTCTGGTACCGGAAAAAAAAATCCACTGAGGGTTATGGAAACAGGTCAGTTGTAGAGCTTGCCTCAAATTCAAGAGGTCTGGGTAAAGTTCCCAAAATCATCAAAAGAAAAAATGCACTTCTGGTCATGGTGGTGCTCTCCTGTAATTCCAGCATTTTGGGAGACTGAGGCAGGAGGATTGCAAGTTCAAGCCCAGCCTGAGCAACTTGGCAAGACTGTCTCAAAAAAACAAAACAGCAGCAGATGTAGCTCAGCGCCCATGGGGCTCGATCCCCAGTACCTCCAGAATGAATATGAAGGCACACTGAATTCTCTGTGACCTGGGGGACTCTGCAGCTTGGCAGCCCGGGTGCTGAACGCTGCCCGCTCCTCTCATGACTTCACCCGAGTGGATGGAACCAGGGGCTGCAACCCATGGCATAGATCCAGGCTCCAAGCCTGGTTCTCGCTAGTGTGGATTTCATTCCCCCTTCAAAGTGGGTTAGTCCTCGGTCAGCCTTCCAGGTCAGAGAGCCCTGTCCCTGACCTCACTTGTGTCAGTATGCTAGCATGTTAGTACTGATGACCATCTCCCGAAGACACTGTTTTCTTTGTGGTACCGGGGAAAGGGCCCAGGTGCTGGCACACTGAGTCACACCCCAGGCCCTCCTGCTTTTTTTTTTT